ACAGCCCAGGATCCACGAAAAAGGACATTAAGCTGACCAGAACCTTGAAGTCTTCTGCACAGAACAGTGGGGGAAAAGAGGAAAAACAAAACAAAACAGGATCCCATTTTCATGGGGTGTATGAAATCTCAATGATGCAGAGAGAGACTTGAATTGAGGTGGGTGGATCTCATCACAGAGAGAATTAAAAAATTGCAGAGAATGGGAAATTTTGTGAGTATTCACATCCTTACAAGATGACCTCTGTGAAGAAGAGTAAGTGGATACAATGATTTCATTGTGAGGTTTAATTTCAACATCACAGGAAACTATGACCTCAAGGTGGCCATTACTGAACAGAAAAAAAAAATGTAAAGATAGATCATATGAAACAACTAATCAAGAATTCATTGAGATGTCTCCTGTAGCATGCAGTAAGTCAGTAGACCTTTCTTTATCACAGTATGTGTTAATCAGTTTACCTGTCGAAGGACTATATTAGCCTTTGTTAATGGCAACTGCTTTAATACTTATTAATGACCATTGTTAGAAAAATCATTCCTAGTTATACTTTTTATATTATAGTTTCTTCTGGCTGCACTGATTATCATCCCATGCTTACTCGACCATGTGTGCTGTAATCTGTCAAGTGAGCTGTTATTTCATGTACCTGATGCAAAAGACTATAGTCTACAAAAAAAACATAGTTGATAATAAAGTTTATTACTGACCTATGGCTAAGCAAGGGTCCCTTCCCTACACCTGTTATCATAATGAAACACAGAGACACAGTTCTGGAAGAAAAAAGGGCACAGCTTTATTAGTTAAAGCAGCAGGTGCTGGCTTAGCATTCAGGATAGATCCAGGGTATCAAGAGACCCTCCTTCCTTTTGATACTGCCCACTCATCAGCAGGGTGACATGGGGTGACAGACCATGAAGCCCATGTGGGTGTACCCCACTCTATGCCTCCCTGCCATCTGGGGACAGTGGCAAGCCCATGGCCCTAGAGTTAGGCAAAACCGCACAACCCCCCAGCTCCCATTATGGGGTTCCCTTAATTTCTGGGAGCTGCAGGACTGACCTTCAGCCCATTAGCACTGCCTGGATGCACCGCAATGCTCCAAACTACCACAAGAACTGGGCCCTGCAGCCAGACAGATGCAGCTGCAAGCAAGTGGCTATGGATTTTCTAAACTTTTTAACCACAGATCATGGCCTGAGTCTGAGAGGTGAACTCCATCTGTACAGAAAAGGTGCCTCAAAAAGGTGCCTCTGTTTGCCTACCAGATCCAGCTACCGTCCCAGGTAGCCACCACGTGACCCACCACATCGTTCACCATCTACCTTGGTATGTCCACTTTGTGTGGGTATTGTGTGCCCCACCACACAAACCTCTCAAGGAGATTGGACCAGAAAATGCCAATGGTTGGGTGAGAGAAGTGCATAAATTCTAAGTCAGACTTAATGGAATATGTGAGTTCCAACCCCTTCATGGTTGGCAGGTCATTCTCCCCCAGTTGTATCAAGATCCCATTAGGGAGTCCACTGGAGCAGATTTGGCACCCTATTCAGGACCGAAGTTGGTTCTAATGCCTTACTTAATGTCCCATCCATCTGAGGTTGACCAGTCTGTCCAGGTTCAAGTCAGATCCCCAGCTGATTTCCTTTGCATATTTTGCAGCCCAGTGAATGATATTGTGGCCGATTATCTAGATCTCCTACTGGCCATCTGGAATAGAGACTGAGAGACAGAAGAACATCGGTAGTTAGCCAGGGTTGTGTGAACATATGTCATGTAAGCAGCCACATGCCAACTCCCAATTTCCCTGATCCTGTCTGGGAGCATATTGAGGACAATTTGCTAGGTGGAAGTCCTGCCTGGACCAGTGGAGCCTGAAGGAGCCCTGCAAATTAGGTTAGTGGTGTATGGTTCTCATGGATCAAGAAGGGACCATCCCCTGGTGGGTGAAGTGGGTGACTGGCTAAGATAGTTCAAACTGGGCAAGGGCTTCCCTCCACTTGGAATTTTAAGTAGATAGTGGAGCCCCTGCCCCACTGGTTGGTTTTAGAGGACCAGCTCATCCCCTTCAAGTTAGACATCCTGCCAACATAGGGACCACCCTCAGTGACCCCTTTTGGATCCTGGAACGAATTAATGTTGTAATGCGATGCACCACTGTAATGTGTAATGAGCCTTAAAGGTCCTTATAACCCCCTTGGTCTAGAGGCTGAACACTAGAGATGTGTTTGGGGGTACGTAAACCACTATGAGACCTTTAGTGTTGAACTCATGCAGTTCTGGGTGGCCAGGAGCAGTTTTTGTTGCATATCTATTCATTGAAAAAAATCTCTGTGTAACCAAAACCATGCTGTGCAAGGAAGAAGTGTATTTGACTTGGCAGGATTTTCCTTCCTTTGGTTGTAGTGTAGTACTGTTTTGGATATATAGTTTGCTGTATGAATCTCCCTATAATCTCCTCTACAAGAAAGTGTAGCTGTTTCATAGTGGTGGAACATATAGTTTAGGTCCTTGAAAAAGATTCAGGTGGCATGGGGGAACTGCTACCAGTTAGCCTAGGAAAGCAAAACTTAACCTAGTGGGTAAACAGCTTGACTTGCGTTCCTAAATTTCTTGCCAAAGGGTAGCAAAACAGTTTTAAAAAAAATGAAATATGAAATAACTTGGTGATTTCATTCAAGAAGCAACCCTGTGTAATTATCTTGACATTTTGTTTCGATTACAGCCCCAAACAATGAGTGTTCTCAAGTGTTTCTATGAAAAGTGCATAATTTTCTATATGCGTTCAAACTAGCCTTGGCCAATTTTCATAAAGAGATTTCTGGATTATCTCCTCTTTTCTGAAAGCAAAGGCAGGAAATTGTTCTATTCCTTTACTGAAGAGAAAGGAAAACAGTGCTGGAGATTTAACAATTTGAACAAGCTGAAGGCAAATGTGCGTGCTTTTGTTTCCTTGGAATGATTTAAAATGCAGCAGATGGTGAATGCTAAACAGAGAGACCTTGAGGAGTGCTTTTATTGATGCTCTGTTGTTGTCCAGTAACAATGCAGAGCCACTCCAAGTTACTCACACTGCATATCACCTACATAGAGAGTGTGTCTAAGAGGTCAAATAATGTATCTCTTCAGCCCGGTTCTTGACATCCTTCACAGTGCTGCTTGGTTGTGGAGTAATTCAGTTGTGTTTTCAACAACAGTGATTTGCTTGAAGCAACTCCTGAAGTGCGCAGAATGACAAGAGCACCATCTTGATAGCCTTGTGAAATGAGGAAGCAAATTGTATTATAATTACCATGACAGATATTTATATTCTAGTTTCCAAGAGGTGTATTTAAAAAAAAATGATTGGGGCAGCTTAAAGAGGATATTGGTTAATGTATCTCTTCAGCAAGGTTCTTGGCATCCTTCACAGTGCTTCTTATGATTTTTGCATATCCTCAATAGATAGCCTTAAATAAGAAAGCTGAGTTCTGGTATTCCCTAAGGTGATCTACAGATATAATTGCTTATGTATCTGCACCATTATGTAGCAATTGTATCTCCTAGGGTAAGTGAGCATCTGTTTCCACTACGCTATTCTATGATCTGACTGGTGAAAACATCTGCATAGAATGTGTTGGATGAACTCCTCTTATACTAGGTATACTGTGTGTGTGGTTTGGAAGAAATTGTGATTTTTCTACAAGAACATATTACGAAACAAATTACTGTATTTTTTGCACCATAAGACTCACTTTTTTCCCACAAAACAGGGGTGTGGAAAGTCTGTGCGTCTTATGGAGCGAAAAATACGGTACCTTGCAAACTGGTTAATTAAAAACTCTTATATTTATAGTACCATATCTGAGGGCTCATTTATCCCAAGGAGTGTGAGAATGATCTGGAATAATGACTTAGTATAGGACAGTTTATGGTGTATTGAATTTAGTCTCTATGTGCTACTTAGATCAGTGAATCTCAATCTTTGGCCTACTAGATATTTTGGACTTCGATTATCAGAAGTCTGAGCCACATGGTGTTGAGTACTGAGGAAGTACAGTGTGGCCAGAGGCTGTATCTTACTTAGTACCAGTTGCTGGACAATCATGGAGATAGCTATTGTTTTCAGGCTTGCTTTTAAATATCCTGAGCACATCTGGTTGTTCACTATGAGAAATACAATGATGGACTTTAGTTTGATCTGGCAGGGCTGTTCCTAAGTTCATTTGTGATGAAAAATTCTGAACAGTTAATATTGGATATAAATAATTAGTGGATGTTTTTCATTAAATTCTCACTGGCCTATTTTCACATATAAGGATGGAGAATTTCCATGCCAGTAGAGATTTTGTTTTGTTTCCTTTTGATACAAAGCCAAAAACCGCATCATTTTACAGCCTTTTCCTGTTCTCTCAGTTGGAAAAATGATAATAATAAAGTTCTAGCACATCATTTTCAAATGTTACTAAATATACACTACATATGGGCATTGTAAACAAAATTTGGAAATACACCTAAAATGAGAGCATTTTGTAAAAAAATTTTTGCACTTTCAAATGGAAACTGATGTGGCAAGAGAACATCAAACTTTAATATGCTACTTATCAAAAGACAAACTTTTATCTTTCCTCTCTACATGATCTTTTATGAACATTAGGTTTTACTGTATAATGCCTGGGGACAGTTAATGAAGATACGAGTGCAAATCCTCGGATTAATGCTTGCCATATGACAGTGCTATTTGGACTGTGAAGATTTAATGCTGTTACAAAGAAAAGTGACCTAAGAAACAATTGCTTATTAAAATATAGGAGGCAAGCCATATGTTTCAAGTTATATTTAAGATCCAGAAATTTTTGCTAGATGCCCTCAAGGCAATGACAAGGACTTAATGTGCCAGGAATTCATTTTAATTTTTTGCCTTGCAGGGTTTTTATAAAAAGCCACTGATTTAAATGGAGTAACATAATGAGACAGAAGTAATTAAGACAGAAGTATTCATTCATCTCTTTTCTCCTTAGGCGGTTGTTCCTTTGATGAACACTACAGTAACTGTGGTTATAGCGTGGCACTGGGGACCAATGGATTTACCTGGGAGCAGATTAATACCTGGGAGAAGCCAACAATGGATCCAGCTGTTCCTACTGGTGAGTAAGAAGTGTGTTGGACAGGGAGGCTTTTAAACAAAACTATTCATCTCACAGTGAGAATTTCCAGAGTTATGTTTGTATTAGCTTGTGATGACATGACTAATATAATTCCATTTTTCATGTGGTTTTACAGAGTAATATAGACATTGAGACATTACTGTTGGGAGAAGAATCACATTGCATGCCGCACCAAGAGTGTTCAGCTTTAGATATCACTCAGTAATATTTATTGAAAGCGTGTTAGGTTTTTTAATCCCATCCTTTCTTTTGTTATGGAAGGAGGAAGCAATGTCTAAGGCACAGGCCAAGTTTGAAAGTACATTTAGCACATATTTAAATAAATGCACCTTCAAGTGATGAAGGGATTCTTTTTGTCATAGCACACCATTACATTTGTCATGCTTTCTTTCATGCTTGGAGATAAACAGGAGTGTATTTCTGAGGAAATCGTGGGGTGAGCAGAAATAATTCATACTTGTCTTAATGTCTGATTTGGCCCCCTTTTGATGACCAACATTTGTGTTCAATATCTGTGCCTAAATTTTGGAACTCTTTCTGAGAAATGTATTTAGTCCCTCGTTGCTGTTGTTCCATTATTGAGGAAGGGATTTTTTTTATTTCTTTCCATGGTTAATATAAACTACCCACATGCTAAAGGAGAAAGGAAGGGTATAAACTGATTGTGAAAACCAAAACAAAGCAAACTGAAAACTCCCAAATTCATTTTTCAACCAATGAGGTCACTATAAAACTCTCTTCAAATATCAGCGTGACAAGAAAATTGTGCTACAACTAATGACTCTTTATATCAGTAAAGTCTTAACTTATCTGGCATAGTAAAATTCTTAAATAACAATAACAACAACAACAACAACAACAACAACAACAACAACAACAACAACAACAACAACAACAACAACAACAACAACAACAACAACAACAACAACAACAACAACAACAATAGTGTGCTGTCAAGGCACTTTCTGACTTATGTTTACCATTTTCAAGGTTTTCTAGTTGAGAGTACTCGGAAGTAGTTTACCATTCCCTTGTCCTAGGGGTGCTCTGGGACTGTGCAGCTTGCACAAAGCCGCACAGGCTGGCTCTTCTCCCAGGAGGTACAGTGAGGAATCAAACTCCCCACATCTGTGCCTTAACCGCTGAGCTATCCAGCCAGCTACTTAAATTAAGGGACCTTATGATTATATACATTAGTTGATAGGAAAGATTATCAGTTTCTGTGCTGCCATATCATATTTTGCAGCTCAATAAGAAATGAACAACGCTCCAAAAAGTTCTCTTCTTGGGCTACCAATCACAGAACCAGCATCCATGCAGCTGGAAGATCCTGGGAGATGCCATATTCAAAATGTCTACACTATCTTCTTAATTTGAGCAATTTTCAAATAAGACACATACCAGCTGCATTATGCCAGCATGTGTAGGCAACAGGATTCTGGTCAGTTTAATTTTTCATGTATGGTACACTAGAAGAGAGGAGTACAGGTTTCAGGCTTACACTCTTCATTTTTCTTCCTCTTCTTTCAGATGACTAAGTCCACACTCAGTTTGATGAATGGTTTAGGTATCTGGCTGCAGAACCAGAGTTTGATGCCTCCTTGACAGGGGTTGGACCCAATGGTCCATAGGGTTCCTTCCAGATCTGCAGTTCTAAGACTAATATAATTTTATTAAAAAGAAACTTTCTTTGTATCAGAAGAAGCACAGTTTGAAAGCTCCTGCATATATCTGAATATTGCAGCACATGAGGGGGCTCTTCCCACCCATAATCTGGATTGGCAACAGTCCAATTCCATGTTTTCCACTCTAGGCACAACAAGAGTCAGCATTTTTTGAAGTGAGGTACAACTTTTTCACTTGAGTGGAATTTCCAAGGTTTATGGATTAAAATTCTGACTGCTCTCAGACGCATGCCTAGTTGCATCTTTTGTCTTGGAGACGTGCCAAAGCTAGGACTGGTTTTGGGAAACAGGATGTTAACATCCAAAGAGGGATGAGAGTCAAGTGCAGATTTTCTTTTTAATCTCTTTATCTGTAAATGTTGTGAAAGAACAACTTGTTGAAAACTTTAGAAAAAGAACTGAACAAAGATACTCTTTAGGTTGATTCTAGAGAGAGAGAGAAGGAGGTGGAAAGGCAGACATATATATATATATATGCTGACACATAAGCAAGGAAGTCATGTAATATTGCTCTGGGCGTTACTGTTATGATGTTGCACCTTGTGGTGGTGCTGATTGTTGACATCTCACATGCAAACCCATTTGGGCTGATGGCTATGGCAGTTTTGCCAGGTCGTGTTGAGAGACATGCAGGATGATACATTTACACTAGCTGTTTCCTATCTGTCAGCTTATGTGTTCTGTCTCATAACTGGGCATAGCTAGTACGTTGTATTATTCTGTCTTCTGATAGTATGAGGCAGAGTATGTAGATTGATGGTGCCATGAAAAACTGTAATAACCTCTTTTAAAGCTCTGACAATTGAACATTCTGGTACTGGAGCCTCCAATGGTTCCAAGAGAGCAATTTCTCAACCCCTCCACCACCACCACGTAGTCCTTTTTTATTTTACAACAAAAATCCTTCCCATCCCAGTCAGTGCTTGGCCTCAAAGGTGGTCTGAATACTTTCCAGATTCATTCTCCAGAATCTCCAGTTAAGGCAGGAAATTCCTGCCTGAAATCCTGGGCAGCTGCTGCCAGTCATTGTCATCAATACAGTGGTGCCTCACTTAGCGATCGCTCCGCTGAGCGATGAAATTGCTTTGCGATGGACTTTTGGCCATCGCTGGAGCGATCACTTAGTGATGTCCCCTATGGCTAAAATTCACTTTGCGATGATCGCACGGAAGCGATCATGGCAAAGCGAACTTTTTTAAACAGCTGATTGGCGGTTCCAAAATGGCCACCGCAAAATCAAAATGGCCACTGCTGTTTTGCCTCGCTTTAGAGGCACCCAAAATGGCTGCCGCTGTGGAGGAATTTCGCTTTAAGGTAAGTTTTTAGCCCATAGGAACATATTAAACGCGTTTTAATATGTTCCTATGGGCTTTTGAATATCACTTAGCGATTAAATCACTTAGCGATGTTTTTTCCAGAATGGATTAACATCGCTAAGTGAGGCACCAGTGTACTAGATTAGATAGGCAATGGACATGACTCAGTATAAGGCAGATTCCTATGTTCCTAATAGGTAACAATTATTATCTTTTTTTCCTACCTCCCACCGCCCAGGCAACATATACTGTTATGGAACTGTTTGTTGTCAACTAATTTTCCTAGTAGTTTATAATGCAAAGAATCTTCACATATCAAATTAACCATAGATTTTTGCCTTTATTTCTGGAAGAAGTTTATTCTGCAAAATGATTTTGCTTTGAGGGAATAATGCACCATAGTTCCCTTTAGGGAGTAGCACTGGTGGTTTCAGAGAGCAGGAGAACATGGCACCCTGATTCTGTTTATATGGTAGTTTATCATTTTTCGTTAGTTTACAGTTTTAGACTAACTAAAAACAGAACACAATGATTTTTCACTTTTAGTTTAGTGCCATCTAGAAGATGTAACTCAAACCTCCTTTAATTGCACAACTACTCACACAGTCATCTGAATACCACTTGACCTCTTAGAGACTTTCAGGGCCACTCATGGTAATATCTTCTTGGACTAGGTCTGTGATGTTGGACTAGGGGATACTATATTGCAGTGGTTCAATTAATAACTTACCCTATTCACGTATAGATTCCCTACTTTGGGTAACCCAGGTGTTCTTAGATTGCAATTCCCAGAAGCCTTTACTACCAGCTGGTGGCGCTGTGGGCTAAACCACAGAAGCCTGTGCTGCAGGGTCAGAAGACCAGCAGTCATAAGATCAAATCCATGTGACAGAGTGACCTCCCGTCTCTTTGTCCCAGCTCCTCGCCAACCTAGCAGTTTGAAAGCATGTAAAAATGCAAGTAGATAAATAGGTACCACCTTGGTGGGAAGGTAAAATGGTGTTCCCTAGTCATGCTGGCCATGTGGCAACGGAAACTGTCTTCAGACAAGCGCTGGCTCTACGGCTTGAAAACGGGATGAGCACCGCCCTCTAGAGTTGGACACGACTGGACTAAAAATGTCAAGGGGAACCTTTACCTTTACCTTAAGCTGGCCAAGGGTTCTGGTAGTTGCAGTGCAGTGAGTTACCAAAGTTAGGAACCACTGTTAACATAACCATTTATCTCTCCTTTAATTTTAGAGATTATAATACATGTATATATCTACTGTATTTTTACCCTGTGTTCTCCTGAAAGGACATAAGGCAGCTTAAAGTATTAAAAACAAATAGTATATTAAGCATTAAAAACAGTAAATTATTGCATTATATAAACAAAGAATTAAACATATATAATATTATAATTAGTAGGCACTGAAAGGATTCCCAGTATAGGATAGTGGGCAGATTGATGGACTTAGGCCTCTAGAGAACAGGGTTCAAATCCCCACTTGGCCCTGGAAACTCACTGGAAGAGCTAAATTGGTAAAAAAACTCCTTAAATAGCTGACTGACCTTGAAAGCCCTACTAGAGTTGCTGTAAGTCAGTTCAGACCTGTCAGCGCAGAATACACAGACACACAGAGACAAAAAATGGTTCTAAAAACACCCACTCTGACCATAAGATTTAGGACCTCCCTCAATATGACCTTGTCTAATGAATTGAAATCAGTGGGAGATAGGACCTTTTCAATTCTGTAGTACTATTTGTAGAATGCCCTCCAGAGAGAGATGCTTGAGACCTTTGTGCTTCCAACACTACAGTATATTAAACCTTGTTTTAGTCCCTGAATATTTTAAGAACCATTTCAATGCTTTTATGAAAGCTTCTGCACTTTCCCCCATTTTGGGTAGTAGCTTGACTGTGGCTTTGTTATATTGTATAATTTTTTTATACCTCTGCTGCTGATGGCATCTCATTCCACTTTTATTATGATTTC